TTTGTGTTTGGTGAGAGGAAAGGGAAGAGAGAGAGAAAGTAAAGAGGGATGAAACATACATCATTCCTTTGTAATTTTTTATCCGTCCAAAATTAAAGGGAAGAGGAGAGGGGAAAAAAAAGGACACTAACAATTATTACGTAATTTACATTTTTAACCTTTTAAAATTTTGAAATAAATATCTAATATTTATAATTGTATATAATAAGGGTATATTAGTACAAATAATATAAAAACTTTCTTTCCCTTCCTTTTAACCAGACAAGAAAAAATATTACATATTCATTTTTTTATTATCAATTCCATTCAACCAGGGACGGATCTAAGAATTTATATGAGGGGGCAAATTTATATAGAGGAGTTTTTTCATAATTTTAGTGGGGGCAATTTCAAAATTTTATTAGTATAAATGCAAAAAAAATATAAATTTAGAAATATAAAATATAATAATAAAAAATTTCAGTGGGGGCGGATGCCCCCATTAAGTCCTTTACAGATCCAAGCGTGCATTCAACCAAATAAAAAATAAAAAGGACATTTTTCATTCCTAAAGATGCCTCATTCATCCCTCTCTCTCTCTTCCTTTCATCCATTTTCCTATCCCTCCAACCAAAGAGATTAAGAGCTGTGGTGAGTATGTGTTTAAATTTTAAGAGGTGGATGCTTCAAATGCAACCAACTTAAGTCTATTACTTTGCGTTTGATTACTAATAAAATAATGATTCAGGTGATGTCATGGATCACGTCTATTGATTTTTTATTCATTACGGTCGCCGAACTCTGTCTGATTCGTTTGGTTGATGGCTTCATTAGCACTATAGTTACTGTGTAAGTGATTCGGTAAACAAACATTTATACCTTAATGATGTTTTAAACATGTTTAATTCTGACCAATATTAAGCTATCAAATGATTTCATCAAGATAGTTAAAACTAAAGACAATAATCTATTTGGTAATACTATGTTTCGCATGAGTAAGAAGTGCCAAAAAATTAAAAAAAATTTGAAAACTACAATTACTCCAATTGCACTCTATGTATATAAAAATATATAGAGAGAGAGAGAGAGTTTTCAATTAATTTAAACCTTGTAAATTATTATTTATTTCATTCATATATGATTGAAAGCAATTAAAAATGAAAGTCAAGTTGTTTAAAACCCTATCAATGATAAAATTACTGTTGGATTGCAATTCTTTAAAACCTAGTAAAAAAAAATATGATACAGTTGTTGTGTAAAATAACGTAATAAAATTGTTGAATAAAATAGGAACACAAAATAAAAAGATGTTACTTTCACGTGATAATAAAAATTTTCCTTTGTTTTATGCCGGAAACGTTTTGAGAAAAATAAAAAGTTATGAGAATCTTAATTTTCCAGAACTTTCTTTTTCTATCTAACCAAACTTTTAAAGGGTTTCATAATTTATTATTTGATTTCTTTTTAAGTTGATTCTATCTAATCAAATCTAGCTCCATACCAAGTTCAAGTGCTGGTCCACTTTTATTTTCTTGAAGGCCCCAAAATTTGGGTCAGGCTTGCTGTGAAGGCCTATAGTTATTAAGTTATAAAGTAAGCCTACCCAAAACTTATGGGCCTAACATGCTTATTCACCCTTGGGCTGCCCGGTCCATGCTCACCCTAGCCCTAAGCAAACCATAAACCCAAAAAAAACGAAAAAAATGATAAAACTTAGGCTTAAATAAGTAAATAAATAAAATAAAATTGAGTAGAACCAACTCTCTTAAAATGAGTTTTGTTCTAAGAAAATAAGAGAAAAAAAAAAAAATTTGAAAAATATGCTTGGTCACTCAAAACTATTTTCTGAAACTTCATTAGCTAATATACTCGAAGACACATACAACACGCGACATGACCACATTCCGAAATTTTTGGTTGGGGATTGACTCTAATATCACTCGTCACGACCAGCCCTCCGCATTATATAAATAAATATTGTTCTATTTGCATATTTTCCTCTTGATGCTCACAGTTTTGATCAAAATATGTCTACTATATTATTAAGGGGTGTCCACACATATATTTATAAGTAACATTATTTGTTAACTTCCTTATACTTCATATGGCTAGAAATTTGTTTTGACCAATATGACTAAAGGACATTTGAAGCCTTATATGCAAGAAAGTCCTTTGAAGATGCTAATATGTGTTGTTGTCTCATGAGAGATATGAACACATAAGTAAGAAAGTATTCTAAACTTCAGCCCATAATAAGATACTCCATAAAACAGCATAATCTTATTAAATCACCACTGCACTTGATTTAGATTTAGTCGTATATAAATTTTTTTTTTCAAAATTAAATTCTCTCCAAGAGTATTGTAAAAATTCTTTGATAAATAAAAAAATAAATATAAAATTAAAATTACACTTGTTTATAAAAGAAATAATGATTTATAGTTTAAAGTCAAATAATTTGAACTGATTTATGTGAGTGAAAACTAACATAATCGTGATGTCATTAAAACTCTTCACATAACATTAATTTTTATTCATATAAAATTAGTCAGATGTGTTAGGCACTCTGACTCAGAAACAAATGACAACAAAAATAAAGTGCTGAAGTACAAGTTTTTCCAAATGATATTTAAAAAAATAAATAAATAAATTTGCCGATCTAATATATAAGTATTACTAATTACGAATATATATACAAGATTCGGTGACCGACTCCACGGTTTGATGACAAAGATCTTGATAAGAAATATTCTTCATTTGTTAGGATTAAGCAAATAGATAATCTAACATTGGATTTGGTAATTTAATATGTATATGATTGGATTAAGCTAATATATAATCTAAATTGAATTTGGTATTAAGCTAGTATGATACCAATTGCCAACCTTGTTGACCATGTCACTTCGATTTTGTCAAACTATATGGTGTTCCACTCACCTAGACTTCCTCCTAAGCAGCCTGCACCAAAATATCTGTATATAATATCACACACACACACACACAAAAACACACAATGGAAGCACACAGTTCGTATGGGACATCATGGGCTGATCAATGGGACTACAGCAAGCCAGACCCTGTTCCTGATAAGAAGAAGAATGGTTCTGCAGCCAAATTGTCAAGCAAGGTGGGTGACAATCTTCACAGAACCAAAGTGGCAGCCTCAACTGCAGTGAAGAAAGTCAAGGAAGGAGTGTCTGGTGGTGTTCAATGGATCAAAGTCAAGTACCACAACACCACCCAAAATCACTAGAAAACAATCGAATATTTATTTTCCAGAGACCTCATCTTTAATTTACCATTTCTTTCAGATTTTATCATTGTTCTAACTTCTATGGGATTTGATTACATACATGGTGATTGATATGTACATGTTGATTAAATAGTATATAGTTTGATTTTCTTTTGATGACTCTCTTTCTCATGATATCCTTAAAACTGTTTCATGGTGTTATTTGTTTGTTTATTTATTTTGAAATATGTAAGTTTGCTCACATTTGTGGCAACAGACTGTTTTTCTTGTTCAATCTAAGTTAAAGAAGTTATCACAAGAGGGGTGTCACACATGTTGAAACAACTGTTGAATAAGGGAGTCAATGCATAAAATGGGATCCCCTCCTGTTTAGGGGGAACTCGTGTACCAAATGAAATTATTTTGGTGCATAGACATGGAGTCTAATAGGACACGTGTTGGGGCTCGTGTACAAAATGACGTTGGTTTAATGTACAACACTATATATAACATATATATAACATGTATAACTCCCGTCAAACATCGAATCTCTGATCCATTGTTGTCCCTTCAAGCAAAAAGAGATGCATTAAAGTGTCCATCCTATTTGATAACAAAATTATTTTTCAATAATTAATAACGTGGTGACACGATGGATAAAATAGTGACACTATTTTGAGGGGTGTCCTTGGGAAGAACATAAATAATTATGAGCAAGTGAGGATGAAATAATGTGAATTTTCTCCATACACTTCTTCGCCTAGCGTGAAACTTTAAATTTTTTAAGTATGTCACACATGTTGAAAGAAATAAGGGAGTCAACGCATAGAATTGGATCCCCTCCTAAACGAGGGAATCTCTGTACCAATTGACATCGTTTTGGTTAAATAGGATCTGTGTTGGGACCTATGTGCACTCAGCGTTGGATTACAAAACGATGTTGTTTTAGTGCACAAAACAATATACCCTTCAAACAAAAGGAGATGCATGTGAATCATGGTTGAGTGTTTGATAACAAAATTATTTTTTTAATAATTAATAATTTCGTGACATGATTGATAAAATAGTGACAGTTTTTGGAAGATTGCTTAGGAACAACATAAATAATTATGAGCAAGTAGGATGAAAAGTGCAATAATTATGAGCAAGTGAGGTGAAATAGTGTGGATTTTCTCTAAACACTTATTTAGCGTAGTGTTGAAGCTTCGAACTTTTTTATTTTTATTTTTTATTTGGCCAATTCAAAGTAATCCATAATTCACGGCACATGTGTGAATATATTAGAGGTATTATTACTATCTTGTATAATATATTTTACTATATTCTAACGGCACATGTAAAAATATCATGTCCAATCTGCATCCATAGAACGATTATAAAATAATATTTCTTGAATGAGAGGGTTGGGGAGAACTTTGATAACTTTATACTAAATTTTCTTCCATCATACTTTTGACGCCTTTGAAGTTTGAAGTGTTAGAATCTTCTATTTAACGCCCAAAATCCGTCATCGTCCTCCTCCTCCTCCTCCTCTACACTATCATTCACACACCCACTTGCCTATTTAGATATTTGATTTTTTATTATTTATTTTGAGAAATAAATAAAATACAATACCACTTAATTACAAGGCTCACACTAAATTCACCCTAATTAAATTTAGCTGAACTTGGCACGACCAACACAAAAAGTGGGTCCCACTTATATTCAGAAAAGGCAGGGCTTCCCATGATTGTCGTCTCCTCTTGGCTGATTGCTCCCACCACCCCACACATAATGTTCTTGTGGTCTCGCATCTCTTTCTCCACATATTTTTATCTAAATTTGCACAAAGATCCATGGTTTTCGAACATTTTTCAACCACTTCCAAAATTAACCCCACCCTTTAGATCTAACATTTTCTTGGTGATTAACATGTCCAAATAAGAGAAAAACTACCTTGTCCTGACCAAAATAATATCAACATAAGATAGTATATGATCTAGAAAAGCCTACACAGCAACTATTACTACTACCCAGATGAATTCAAGCATTCCAGAAATCCTTCTGAGCTCCGGTGACCAGAAAATGCCCGTCTTGGGCTTGGGCACCGCAGCCGACCCTCCGGTGGGACCGGAGATCATTAAACAGGCAGTGTTTGAAGCAATAGAGATGGGTTATAGACATTTTGACACAGCTGCTCTGTACAATTCAGAGCAGCCTCTTGGAGAAGCCATAGCTGAAGCACATCGTTGCGGCCTAATTCGATCTCGAGATGAGCTCTTCATCACCTCCAAGCTCTGGTGCAGTGATGCTCACCCCCAACATGTCATGCCTGCCCTGCAAAATACTCTCAAGTAACACCCCTCCACTCATATGATCGTTAGTTAAATTCCGTTTTTTATCTATGCAATTTCTAGTTCTATATATATATATATATATATATATATATATATATATATTGTGAGAGTATATTAGCTTCACCAGAATGCAACTCTACCCAAAGTATTTCCAAGTTCCTCACAAACATAAAATGAGAGAAAAAAATTCGGTTAAGATGGTTTTATCATATACAAAGACTTGGTTACTGTACGGGATGTGCCTATTTTGGGAGTGCACTGCCTTTTATTTATGGTCATTGGGCTTCATGTGCCCTTATTGTGTGGACGTGGTCTGGGATTATCTGGAAGGTAGGTGTACAATCCAGCCACACGTTACTTTTAAATGCGACAGTTAAGAAGAGTAATGTAGTCCAATATTAGGAAAAGAGTAGTATGGAAGAATATGATGGATGTGATTTGATTTGACCGAGGATACGAACTTAAATGAAGCTGAATTGAAACTTGGGATTCATGTAGTCAGCCTTTAAGTACTTTGAAAAAAAAAAACAAAAAAAATGCCTTCTTGTTGTTTCCTCACAAACATAGCTTAAATTCACTTTTGATGTCACTATTGTGCAGGAACATTAATTTGGAGTACATTGATCTCTATCTCATACACTGGCCTGTGAGTTCGAAGCCGGGGATTCACGAGTACCCAATCAAGAAAGAAGAATTTATGGCAATGGACTATAAGTCTGTGTGGGCAGCCATGGAAGAGTGCCAAAAATTTGGGTTCACAAAGGCCATTGGTGTAAGCAATTTCTCGAGCAAGAAGCTTCTCAATGTCCTAACCACTGCAACCATTCATCCTGCTGTCAATCAAGTGAATATCTAACACAACCCTTTTTTTTTTTTTCCTTCGGCTTTCCTTTCGCTAGTTTGATATGAAAACGAGTCTGGATCCTCTGCTGTAGCAGACCCTGTTGTAGGGTTTTTCAACATATTTGTTCTATATTTCAACACAGTTTCAACAGATAGAACAAATGCGTTGAAACTACAAATAATGATGTTGCAAAGAGATTTCAACACATTAAAATCCTTTTTCAACACGTTTGTTTTAGAATTTAAGTGTGTTGAAAAATTTTACAGCACCACTACGTACAGGGTCTATTATAGCAAAGGATCATGACACTATGAAGAAATGGTAGTGAAGGTGTTTAGATTTTTAAAAGGTGGAATTAAACCCATGTTGGCAACAAAGGAAGCTGAGAGAGTTCTGCAAGGCCAGTGGAGTACTTGTAGTGGCTTATGCTGCTCTGGGGGCCATAGGGACCTTTTGTGGCACCAACAAAGTTATGGAGAGTGAGGTGCTCAAGGAAATTGCAAATGCCAGACAAAAGACCGTCGCGCAGGTACTTTTAACATCGCTTCTCTAAGTAATTTGTGTCAAATCTTCGATTCAAATGAAGAGAGGCTCATTGTTGGTCGCGTTGCAGGTTTGTCTAAGATGGGCATACGAGCAAGGGATCGGTGTGTTGGTGAAGAGTTTCAACAAAGAGAGGATGAAACAGAACCTTGGGATATTTGACTGGGCATTGAGTGAAGAGGAGTCTAAGAGAATCAGTGAAATTCCACAAGGAAGAGCATGTCTTGGTAAGGATTACACCTCAACACATGGACCTTTCAAGACAATTGAGGAGCTCTGGGATGGAGAACTTTGATTTCATCATGTGTAATTAGCTACACTTTCTCTGTAATAAAGGACTTTGTTTCATTCCTGTTTTTACATCAATCAGATTTTACAATTTATTACACTAAGTTAGTTGACTTCCTAAGCAATTCATAACACTTAAAAGTTGTTGACATACTAAAGCATTTAGGAGTTGGAAGTTGGTTCTTTGCAGTTCAAGGAAGTAAGCATCTATGACAGATATCATACAAGAAGCAAAACAAGCAAACAAGTACATATATACCATATATATATATATATATAAGGGAACCATTTTCACACTTACAAACTCAGCCATGATGTACAAGAAGAAGTATGAATCTTACCATGGGCATAAAAACTGCACAGGGGACATTGCCATTGTTGCAATATGTATATATTCTTAGCGATTGTTATACACGCCTGATGTGTTCTACAGCACCATTGTCTCGGCTTATTTGCAGAAGATATGGTTCTTGCATACCACCAAAGGCATGTTTGATAGGATTGAGTAATTTTGATGCCAATTATCTCGCAATTATTGGAGATTTTTCACCAAAATTCGATTTCATGGCATAGCTGCCAGCAAATGAGTATTCACAACTTATAAAACATGTTATTACAATTTTAAAACAACATTTTTCTTTGACATTGTAACTTTGACAACAAAAATTGTTAGCCACTTGTCACACCCGCCACGCAGTCAATGTGTGAGTGTTGAGAAGAACTCTGCATCATGTCTGCATGGCAGACTTCCACATTATTGTAAGAAGATCGGGATCTAGAATCTTTCATATTATTTTAAAAAGATTGGGGAGTGTTGCAAAGTGGCGGAGGATTTTAGAATTTGGGAGAATTTATAGAAGATGACAGTAGAATTTAGAATTTTGGAGAATTTATAGAAGATGACAGTAGAATTCTTAGGAAGTAGATAGGAAGGGTTGAAATGAGCCTATATATAGGTGAGGGTAGCTAGACTTTCTTGGTAATAAGAAATTTTGTTACCTTACTCATTTCACATTATTTACCATCACATCAGTTTTTGAAATTTATAATTCAATCACATCAATGTTTTCAATTTTTAATACAATTACATCAGAAGATAATTGTTCACTTCCTAAAATATTTGATATTGACATAATATTAGAACAATCAACTGGAGCAGTGGTAGCGCCCGGAGGAGCGGAGCGGGAGGGTTGTATAGCCATGGTTACCAAACTTATAATGTAAAGAAATATTTGTTCTGAATATAGACATAAATTCGAATCTTGTCATTTCCAAACAATTAATTTTTTTATTTTTATTTTTATTTTTTAAATAATGAATTTTTTTAGAGAGAGATTTTACCTTTTGCAGTATTGATTTTTCAAAATCTACAGACTTTACAAAATATAACATACTATAAGAAACAAACAAATACACAATACTGTAAGGAGCAAAAAAAAAATTGCTGATAATATAACAAAAGACTTGTGAAAGATAAGTATACACAACTACTATTACAAATACCCAGATGGATGGCAATGGTGTCGCTTCAAGTATTCCAGAAATTCCTTTGAACTCCAATGATTGAAAAATACATGTCCTGGGCTTCGGCACTTGGCACTGCAGCCGACCCTCCTGTGGGATCAGAGACCATTAAACAGGCAGTGCTTAAAAGCAATAGAGCTTGGGTTATAGCCATTTTAACACAGCTGCTTTGTACAATTCAGAGCACTCTTGGAGAAGCCATAGCTGAAGCACTTCGTCACGGCCTAATTCCATCTCGAGATGACCTTTTTATCACCTCCAAGTTGTGGTGCAGTAATGCTCACCCCCAACATGTCCACCCTGCCCTGCAAAAGACTCTGAAGTAACACACCTAATTTCTAATTCTACTTTTTTTCTTTTTTCTTTTCTGTTTTTTTAAGTTCACTTTTCTCACTAGCATAGCTTAAATTCATTTTTTGTGTCATTATTGTTCAGGAACTGGAGTACATTAAACTCTATCTCATACACTGGCCTGTGAGTTCAAAGCCAGGGATTCATGAGCACCCATCAAGAAAGAAGAATCTATGGCAATGGACCGTAAGTCTGTGTGGGCAGCCATGGAAGAGTGCCAAAAACTCGAGTTCACAAAGGCCATTGGTGTCAGCAATTTCTCTTGCAAGAAGCTTCTCCATGTCCCAGTCACTGCAACCATTCCTCCTCGAATATCTAAACACAACCCAAGTAAATTTTATTTATTTATTTATTTTTATTTTTTTCAGTTTCCTTTTCCTTTAGCATATAAAGATTGGTAGTGAAGCAGTTTGGATTTTAAAGGTGGAAGTAAATCCATGTTGGCAACAAAGGTAGCTGAGAGAGTTCTGCAAGGCCAATAGAGTGTACTCGTGGTGGTTATGCTGCTTTGGGAGCCATAGGGACCTTTTATGGCACCAACAGAGTTATGGAGAGTGAAGTGCTAAAGGAAATTGCAAATGCCAGACAAAAAACCATCGCGCAGATACTTTTAACATTGCTTCTCTGAGTAATTTGTGTCGGAAGAGAGCCTTACACTTCTCTAAGTAATTTGTGTCAATTCGACGATTGAGCCTTCCCTGTGGAAGGCTCGTTGTTGGTCGTGTTGGAGGTTTGTCTAAGATGAGCATATGAGCAAGGAATTGGTCTGTTGGTGAAGACTTTCAACAAAGACAGGATGATACAAAACCTTGGGATATTCGACTGGGCACTAAGCGAAGAGAAGAAGATTGGTGAAATCCCACGAGGTACATCCCATGGGCCTATCAAGACAATTGAGGAACCTTTCAAGACAATTGATAAGATTCATATTCATATTGATCGCGATAAAAGTTCTACGTTGGCTGTCCAACAAGCTAAAGCAACCCTCCTCCTTTATCCGGGCTTGGGACCGGCTGTGTAAAGAGCACAGGCGGAGTTGCAATAACCAATAAGATAATAGAATTCTTAGAATTCTGTTACTAGAATTCTAGAATAACAAGTATTTACAGATACTAATATTTCGTATTTCAAGTGGAATACTTGAAAAAGAGAACATAGTGCTTCAGCGAATAACAAAAATATATCCTTGCAGCTTAGAAAATGACATAATACAAGCTTCACTAACAGCATTACATTCATTGAAATATATTGATATACTAAGATGAAGCCTCCAGAATTAACAACGATGAGGCCTCTCATAACTTGGAGGTAGAGAGGGGCAATTCTCATTCATGTTGGCATATGGCTCTAGGGTGTTATACTGCGGCAACTCCATTCTATACTCACCGAGAATCTGGCAGAACTTGAGCTCACCACCCTCAATGCCGCACCAACTTGGCAGGCGTGTTAGGTTATTCTCAAAAATCTTCAGCATGTATGCATCTCGAATCTGTGGTAACGTATCCAAGTCATGTATAGAGATCATGAGGTCAGAAGGGGTTCATATACAGATCAACTTAATAACGAACAACCTGATATACTTACAGTGAACTCAGTTACTTGAATTGAGTTGGAAATAGGACCAAATACTCCAGCCTCTTTATACATTTCCAAAATAAAGGCAACGCATGTTGTTGATTTCCCATCACTGTATACCCATTCATCTTGTTCGGGAATTGTAAGTATTTGATCAAAGGTGAGACCACGCCTTTCAGTCTCAGCTAGAATTCCATACAAATCCAAATCCTGTAAGAAAACAGACCAGCAATCAACTACGATGGCAACAACAATTATAATAATAATAAACTTTTTATGACAACCAATAATAATAAGGGCCAAGTATATAAAACACCCTAAGGTTTACTTTTTGAGCAACTAACACTCTCTTTTACTTTGGGTATATAACTCCCTTAAAATTTTAAAAATATTGCAAACTAGGGATTTTCGACAGTCAACCATTAGAAAAAGAATTGTTAACAAACGTGTCTCGCACATGACTAATTAATTGTATTAAATACCGAAAATAACCTTATTTGATTTCGAAAATGCCCTTACCCTAATTGTATATAAAGGCCATAATAGTCATTTTACATTAACTGAATTTTTTACTATTTTTTATTTTAATTGTAGGAAGGGCATTTTAGTATTTTTATCGCTCCATTAATGGCCTAATGAGGGGAGGTCCTTGCTTGCCCGTAAAATAAACGTTAGGGGATTTTCAGAACCTATAGGGGGCTATATGAGCTATATGCATACTCCAGAGTGTTAAATGCTCGCGGCCCTAATAATAATAACAACAACAATAATAATGAAATAAAAACACAAATTTGTGCAAAATTTTACATCCCACTGAAACTACATAGTTGATTGTCTCTGATAATGAGCAAAGGATATCCTCTTTCTGCTAAAGAGGATGCATTGAACTCCTAATTCACTAGATACATTTTATGAATATCAACTATTGCAAGTAAATTGCTCATGTTTAAGTATCTGCAACATTTCACATAATGTGATTAGAAAAAAAAGAAAAAGACATTAATTCAAGCACCTCAAACTTGAGTATAGGAGTTTAAATAGCATATTTCTCACATGTTTGTAATATTAACCATATATATATATATATATATTAAATATTAGGATAGTATGAGACCAGTATCCACTCCTATTTAGATTTCCCTTTTTTCTGTTTCCAACCACCTTCTCTTTTCTATCGCATGAACCGACTATATGACATTCTTATATGATACGAAGGCCTCTCAAAACCCCGTTACAAGGGGTTGTTGGAAGGTCTCCAAACTCCCAAATATTGTCCTCTTTCATTGGAACTGTTTGTTAGGCTGTATTTCACTTACAAAGCCATCTCTAATCTGATCTGAGAGACCTTCCCTTGCAAGATGCAACTTTGTGCTTGGGTGAAATATTATCTAATCATTTCCTCCTTCCCATTGACCAGCATGTCTAACTTTATTAACACACAAATTCATCAACCCAGACCACCTTCAGTTATTTGAAGTCACATTTGCTAGACTACTATCCATGCTAACTAAAACTGCTCAACTGTGGGATTAATGTATCATCCAAAAGGAGATAGAAGGGATTACAATACTTGGCTTGTCATCGTGCAACCACCACCATTTCTTTTTGGTGGGGTTAGTTTTAAAAGATACAAACACGGATTAGAGCAAGCTGACAGGAATTTTTGTCAAAAAAAATGGTATCCATGAATAGGCTAGTATTACATTATAGAAGATTTTGAATTACGATTGATCACACAGAAAGAAACTACACAGCACGACAAAGCCATACCCCTATTCCCAACTAATTAGGGTCAATTATGTGAATCTGTTTTGCAATACTGTAATGTCTAAAGGCCGTAACTCATGTTACACGCCATCGTTACTTTCTCTGCTCAACCCATTCAGTTTTGGTCTTTCCCTGTCCCCTATCAATAATTTATATGTGAAGCGCATCACCATTCCTCGGTAGCAGTAATTGGTTTTCATTCATTACATATAATCAAACACCTTGGTCAATTTTCTCTCATTCGCATGTCCAACAAGTGCTACTTCAACCTTTTTTTGAATGTAATTAATTCTAATTTTATCATTTCTTATAACCACACATCCATCAGAAAAACTGTATTTCGAGCACACAATTTATGAACATGCCATTTCTTTGGGGTGAAGTGCAGAACCAAAAAACTAAGCTCTCGCACATCAAGGTGGTCTGGCGACCCACAGTAGCCGGCAACGGCGACCATGCTCGCCGGCCTTTGGTCTGGTGGGTCGCCGTCCTCCGGCAATGGGCCAGCAGTGACCTTCTCTCTCTTCCTTTTGCTCCAGTTTTCATTTTTTTTTTTTTAAATCTTCATCCCCCACCTTACCTCAAAACTCCATTTTCACCCCTCCTCTCTCTCTCTCTCTCTAACCACCTTATTGGAAGCAAATCAACGGAGACCAACGGTGTCATCGGCATTCGGAGACCATGGCGGGATAGAGATCGGGGAATGTCACCGGCGAGAACTTGAACGACGGTGAGGACAAAAAATGCTATGATGGATCGAGCAGATATGCATCGGAATCACCTCGAGCGTGGATGCAGACAGCCAAAACAAAAGAAGATAGAAAAAGGCGGAAAGCCCTTATTTTGTTGAATCTTTTTCATGGGATCAGCAGAATTCTCAAACTGCGTCGGAACCAACAGGTTTCGCGCCGAGGGAACAACACCCGAAGCATTGGGATCAAATTTCATTCTTCTTGCTTTTTACAGCGAATCAAACATACTTTCTTTTGTAGCTGATCAAGTGCTTCTTGCCGGTGTTCATGTTGATGGGGCTTGTCTGATTTTGTCTGTGTTCGTTGGAAATGGAAGTTTTTGTTAGGTTTGGCCAGTCCGAAAATGGTGCATCTGTTCTAGGTTGGTGAAACTCCCATCATAGATAGGTTTCTGATCGTCGTTGGTGAAGGTGGAGGCCACATTTCTGTCCACCGATCTGGGTTGGTTATACTTCATGGCTCTCTGATCGTTGTTGGTGAAGGTGGAGGCCACGTGTGCAAAAGAAAAAAAAAAAAAAAAAATCTCAGGTCGGCAGTCTAATCACTGACACGTGGGCAACCTGCTAGCACTCCTCACTGTTTTTTTTTTTTTCACGTCAATGGTGCATATCATAGGTTGTGCCTTCTTTGGTCGTTTCACAAAATCATATATTTTTTTATATAATTTATAAAATGTCTTAGTAAGGGCATTTTAGTCAAATTCTACCTTAAATATGTCCAGTAGGACTTATTTGCACGATGTGATACTTTAGGGGCATTTTTCGCACATGATGGTTGTGATACGCACTGTAAGCATACTATGGGGCGTTTTCTGCACTTGACCCTATTTCTTTGCACCCAAAAATTTACCACTAAAGCATGATTGGTCTAATAACCGTTTTATAGAATTTACCTTTTAATTTTAAATGTATACATTGAAATTGACCAACCAATATGCCAAAAGCACGCACCCAGTAAATCCATCCTTCTTTGACTCTATAAGCAACATTATCTCTAAGCTCTCATTCTTTTTGTTAAAAAAAAAACCCTGGATAATGATATTGTTCACCTTTTGTTACATATTGAACTTAATCCTCACTCTTAAATTTCTATTTTCACTAAAGTTAAATTCCATATTTCTAATATTAATCTTACTTACAAAACTTCTCAACAAACCTCTAATCTAGCACTTGGTACTTTGGTTTCATAAATCAAAATAATATCATAAAAGCATACACCAAAGAATGTCATCCTGCATGTGTGTGGTAGTCAATTCATGAAAATAAGGCAAAAGGATAAGAGCTTACTGCTGACCCCTAATGTAAACCTAGAGTACTTGAAATTATTTGTCGTACAACTTTTACTGCATGAAAACTCAATTTTTTTCTATTGTTTTTCATTTTAATTTTTCCATTCTTCATGAACACTCCCGTTATTATACGTCTCCACTGCAAGCTTGCTTCTTTGGGGCAATGCTCCGATGAACTGAAAATGCTCATCTACACATTCATTAGAATGCAGAAATCATACCTCACGTATCCATAATACTTTAACAAGTCTCTTTTATATATATTGAAATCAAAATAGAAGTACAATTTTCTAACCCTATCCTTGATTTGTAGGTTCAGAAGTTCATTATATATTTATTTTTAATGTAGCACAAGACTTTGCACGAGAAAATCATTTAAAATAATAGTTGCTCAATTATAATTGATTAACAGAGACTCTAGAGCAAGAGTGTTTCTATATTCAAATTAATCCAACCAAATGTTTTGGAGGAGGAGAGGGGAAGAGATTGGATTCAGGAATCAACACGCATACCTCAGTACCAAGCCGCTTATTTAGAGCTTCATTCCACATATTTGCAGCATATGCTGGCTGCACTCTAGTCCACATAGACATGACAGAAATAACCTGCAAAAAAAGGTCTGATACTTAAAAATGTAGAAACCTCTCCATATCTATCCTATATTATTGAATGAGTGGTGCAAGAATAGATTTACATAAACTATTTTTCTTAGAACCGAAGGAATTGTGAACATACTTATTCTTTTACAAATAAATAAGCCATGAATTCACAAAAATAAGCACAAATGCACCCGTCGCTTATTTAACAAAAAATTTATAATCCCACAGCAATCACCAACAAGGAAAGATGTCACCATTAACTGCACATTAGCCTGAATTTTAAGAATAGGCAGTCAACAAAGACCTACTATAATAGGTAACAACCGCACAAATATTTAATAGCATGCCACATGCAACATGGGGAAGCTAATTTTGATAGATTATATTAAGATTACAAGCAAACTAATGAAATGCATACCAAGTGAGCATCAAGAGGTGGGGGATAGTTGTCACCAATGGTGTCAATCCAACTAAAAATCATGTTGTGGTAACCATATGGCTTGCCTGACATGCTTCGAGCATATTCCCATGCTGCAGTAGAATTAAATTTAGCACGCACTTCCGGATGTAAAGGCAACAATGCTACTTGAGGATTAGAACTATCCTTAAGGGTCAATTCCCACCATTCATCCCATGGAATTACCACAATAATTTCTTCACCCTGCAACACAGCTAAGACACTATATAAAACATATAAATTTAATAGGATATTCATAAAAATAAGGTGTAAAGACAATTCAATGTTCAGGCTGCCATATGACTGATAAAAAAAATACCAAAGCATTTAAATATAACTTCTCAATCCAAAATTCAATTAATCATTTATGCATACATAAACCAAAAATAAAATAAATTTGCGAACTCACTTGATTGTCAATTATTTATGCCACAAAAACCAAAAAGGAAATTTCATTCCAAAAAAAAATTGCAAATTTACTTGATTAAACCAAAAAAGGGAAGTTCGTTCCAAAACAAATTTACATGATTGTCATTTCATAATCCAACAGTCTTAAAAAAACTGTCCACACACATGTTAAAAAATATAAAGAATAAATTGCGCTTCCAATCGAAAATGACAATCCCACCTCAAGAAATCTTACAAATGGTAAGAAAATTTTCCTTATTGTAAAGATTTTTTTTTTTTTTTTTTTAACCACCAAAAAGTGATTGAAGATTAGAGTAATGTGATACAGAAATTCCCTCCTCCCAGCCCCATTCTCACACAAGCACTAAATATCTATGGTTTTCTAGTTACGGTATGAACAACTAAAATTTTTCCTTTGCCAGTTCTAGCTCTTTATGCTTCTAAATTTACAGACCATCGCTGCATAAATGTAATACAACCCTCCAAATGTATGATCCGTAGGTCAATTGCATGACCATGCTGAAAAAAATAATGTAAGACCAAAAACAACAATAACTTGTGAGGAAAAAATGCTAACTTTTTGATTGCATACCTTTTCATTCTCGTGTCCTGATTCACCAACCCAAAGTTTACCATAATCATCCTTCAAACAGACTGCAGTGTGACCAGCAAATGCACCTGTTACCCACTTCTCCAATGTTTCAAATCCACCCCACCGACCACGTATCTTTGACACTGCTAAAAAATCACCAGAATGAACATCATCCGGATTGATAGTTGTAAGCCAAGGCTGAGGACGCTTTTCGAATGATGCACCCATATGATTCTTCAGAAATGCTATGTTAGCATTCTGACCCCAACCGGTGTTAGAGAACAAGGGCAAGACATCTACTAAGGAAAGCAGGGTCCCTAGCATTCCCGATGGCATAAGAAATACAGAGATTCCGTGCTGCTTTACCTGCTCAATGGTTACTCCGAATGTCAACTTCATATGATGGGATTTATAAATAAGAATAAACCAAAAACAGAAGAAAAGAGAAAACAAGCTTACATATTCCAACTCTGCAGGTTCCTCCCATGATTCAATTTTCAACGTATGATCTCGGGCAGAGAAGTAGTAATCCCAAGTAATCCTATAGGGTGTTGCAAAAACATATAGATCCATACAGGTCCAGCTGTGAGCTGCATTTGTCTGTGGAAAGGTAAATAAATTAAGAAAATCAAACTTGAAATTGCATCATCCCAATCATAATGAGGCAGAATTACAAGTCATATGGTAAAAACAGAAATTGCAACAGCATCTGGTAAGGAAAGATATGTGACATGGTCCACATTGAGAGTAATGCTAGGGCGGATAGAGAGTAAGGAAAAATATGGCAACATGTGGCTTGACTGATGGTATGACCTTAGACAAAGCAGGATGAAAAAATAGGATTCATGCAACCAATTCCAAGTAGTTGGGAGAAGAGTTTGTAGAGTTAGAGTTAGACAGCATGTAGTAAAACCAGAAAACCACAAAAGTTAAAAAAGATTGCATTGCATGATTGTGCCCTCAGTTTCTATGTATGTATATGAAAAAGTTGTGCCATAATTTTAACTTCTCTATTAATAATTGAAAAATAAAAATAAAAATAAATAAAGTTCATTAGTTGCATTAAATATGAAACCATTCACTCTCTCAAATCAGTGTTTTATTAACAATAATAAATAAATGAAAACTCCTAAACAGATTAGAGAAATCTTATTCAACGAAGGCGTCTGTGGACCGGTAGAGAAATACAATGTATGCTTCTGTGATAGTAGCTAATAACAAAAATTCCATATTCTTAAACACGTATCACTGTAAACATCAGAAACCCAAAATTGAAAGGAATGATTAGACTGACACAGATTCAGTAAGCACGTCAACTGTTCAAAAACCTCAACTTATCTCAAATACAATTCAAATCAAACAACATGACTAACAAAAATAATTCCACATTCTTAAACACATATCAATGAAAACATCAGAAACCCAAAATTGAAAACAGTGATTAGACTAACACAGATTCAGTAAGCACATCAATTGTTCAAAACCCTCAACTTATCTCAAAGCATAGAGCAAAGTACGAACCGTGAGATAAATAATACCACCCCCGAGACCTCGATCATCGCCTTCAGTCAACTCGAATCGAGCTTCGTTGCCATAAAAGCAAGCCCCTTTCCACTGAATCGACCCATTGTTGGGAGTCACCGTTCCAACGAAGGACGGCAACAAATCAGTAGGGCTGTGAAGATTGTTGAGCACAGGCCACGATATCTGCCGTGGAAGAACCGGAAGGACATCCTTAACCCTAAAGGGGACCTTCAGAGCGTACCCGAAGTCGAGACCAAACCCTAACCCTAACCCTAGAAAGCATAATATCTTTAGCAACTTCCAGAAATTGCGAGCTAACATCGTCGTTGATGGATGTGGATAGTTGTATTAGCCCTAGTTTGGAGAGAGGGATGGTCATGGATTGTTGGGGTGAATTTGATCCATAGTGGGATTGAATTGGGTTTGATCAGATGATTTTAGTTGACTTTTCGGTTCGTTTGAGAGAGAGGTCCAGTGAGACTTCTTCGTCCGTACCCAACTTCGATCGGGCAGGGGAGACAAAGTCCCGAGTAATGAAAATTCTTACAAGTGTCCGTTATATATGTATATATATGTGTGTGTATATATATATATAGAAGACGAACGGACCTATGTTACAGGTGTCCGCTTGTTCATAGTTACGTACACGCACTTGAAAATTATTTTAATAATTTAATTTTGTTATATATTATTACTATTATTTTCAAGCAAGTGAAAAATGTATATTGGACGCTATGATAATATTTTAATTTATTATATTATTGTTTTTAAACAGGTGGAAATTGTATATTGGACGTTATGTTACATAAAATATTATTTTACTCTAACTAAAGAAAAAATGTTAAATAATATGAATTATTCTGTATGTTCACTTATTTGAGGTTTAATGCGTCCATTTATACTCCTTGAGGTTATAAATTGTTATAAATAAATAAATACGTTTGCAGTTGTTACAAAAAAATTTTAATTTTTTAGTATTATATGCTAGTGATCTTTTAAAAAAATTATATATTCATGAAATTTTAATATTATTCTCACTGAAAGTATTTTGAGTTGCATACTTATCATATATTTCTAAATTCAAGATAACTTTGGATTAGGTTAAGATTCATGAAAGTTGTCAGATTGGAGTTACTTATACTTCAATAACAATGTTATTTATTTAGGCTACGTTTTGGATTCGAGGCTTTTGTCCAATTTAACGTAGAGATTCAATTGGAAAGTTTCAGAGCAACATAGACATGTTAATTCAAAATACCATGTTGGGTTGGATTTTTTTTTTTTTTTCACATCTTGGGTTGGATTGGCTCACCCAAATGTTGCACTTTTTAGATTGGTTGAAATTGCCAGAACTTTTCTAGAAATTAAATACAGTTTTTAATCCGTTATTAGACTTTTCTACATTTTTTTATGATCTTTAATATTTGAAATTATAAATTTTGAAACTTACATTATATGTGAAGTATATCTATATTTTGTTTTAATTTTAAATATTTCCTTTTAATTTATTTATGATTGAAATTCTTCCATAAAAGAACATTACAGACTCACTAATGTGTATTTACCTACTCACTTGCCAGAATGTACTCTCTAGTGACCACTGATGTGGTCCTCTTATTATATACAAACTTTTTTTTTTTTTTCTCCCTTAGCGGTGCTAGAGGGTTTTCTCCTTCGTTCTCCAGTCGGTGAATGAGATAGTGTCCAGAACGAGGGTTTTGGTTCATTCAAGTGGCTTCGGTTTTTTTTTTTTTTTTTTTTCTTGTTTAGGGCAAGTCACTTTCCCTTTTCTCCTTCTTGATCCGTCCATGGAGGATGACCTCAATTCCCATTTGGAATTCTGCAAACTTTCTGAGGAGGAAGAGCGTAAAGTGGTTATCGCAGATGCGGCAGCCGGCGCAGGATCAAATTGGTGTGAATACAGTCTTGCGGGGAAACTTTATTCGGAGAAGCCCCTAAAGTTGTTTGGTATGCGAAAAGCCCTAAGTGAGGCTTGGGATAATGAAAGCTTACAAATGTACCATATTAAAGATTTTATGTTCCAATTCATACTCCCTAGTGAAGAGGATAGAGAGAAAATTCTACTTAATCGTCCCTGGTGTTTTGATGGAGATCGTATCTCTATTGAAATGTGGACATCGAAGTTTGAATTCACGGCCGCCTCTTTTTTCAAGTTCCCTTTTGGATTCGTATTACAAATGTCCCTCTGGAGCTTACAACAGAGGATTTTGCTATGGATCTCGTCTTCTCTTTCCTTTCTTGCAAGAAGGTTTGTGATACCCCTCGATTCTAGAGCCACGGGTAATCAAGTCCGAGCACAGATCCGAGGGATACCAAACAATTAATATGTAAATGAACACGGAATACAAAACAGAATTTAAAAAGAAATAAATAATATAGCTGAAAAGAAATTTAAAATAAAATCCTTATAGTTTAAAATTAAAATAACAATAATATTCCAAACTTCTAATCTCTGTACAACTCGGGAATCCATCTACTACACCCCTTAGAATCCAAACTGAACTAAACAACCGAAGATTAAACCTCAATCTAGAACATAAAATGAAATCCTATATTATCGGAGGAGTGAGTGTCTGCATCTGCTCTGCACGTCCAAGCTTTAGCCCTGGAACTGACGAACACCTGAAAAATAAATGAGTGGGTCAGGCCCACATGCAAGTCCTATTCTACTACGATCCAATCAGAAACCCGATACGCAGATACATCTTAGATAGCTCAACAATATCTAGAATAGTCCATATATATATAATTACACATTATAGGACGCTCACTAGTCAAAGCAGTACATCTCAGCCTGAGTAGAGATACCATGCAAATCGCACATATTGTGGTCATGTGTATCTGGACCTACCAGGGAACAGAAACCACCGTCCAGTTATCCATCCTAGGCGATATACGCACCTTAACCATGGTCCTGAGACTTAAGCTCATACCATGGCACCATAACATAAATATATAAAGTCCGTTCAAGGTGTGTCATTCAAAAGGTTTATTGACCTGACACATAGTTATAAGTAAGACTTAATATTTTGTAGTTAATCCATCTTATTTCAAAATAGGTAGGACTTAGTGTTTGAACTAATCCATCCCCAATATAGGTAGGTCTTAGTGTTTTGAACTAAGCCGTCCCCAATATGCCACCGTCCCATACCGGTGCATATACATACATATAAGTAGGACTTAACTTTTATAGTTAATCCAACTTATTCCAACATAGGTAGGACTTAGTATTTTAACTAATCCATCCCTAGCATAGGTAGGTCTTAGTGTTCTGAACTAAGCCGTCCCTAGTATGCCACCGTCCCATACCAGTGCATACAAACCTCCACATAGTATAATTAATTAAACAATATTAAGCAATTCATCAACCATACTCCAAACTATGCATCAATACAAATTAATACATATATATCAATATTAGGCATTCATTAAAGGGCCTAAAATAACATTCCAATAATGTAAACTGCTAAAATAATCTAAGCATTTACATTCTCCAACTTGTCTATAAATTGATGCAGTTAAATAACAAACATATATCAATTTTTAATCCAAACCAAGCATAAATAATTTTAGGTAAATCACTATACTTATAACTCCATCTAAATATGATTTACAGCTTTAAATCATAAATAAAAACAATCTCCAATTTACAGTAATAAATTTCTTAACCGTAACAGTGCACAACCTACAGGTTTTTCCTCAAGTTCACCCTACTCCATTCCTTAATCAAATTATGAATTGATGTTTCCCTATTATTTTTACAGGTTTACAACATTCATACACATGATTTAAAATAGTTTAAACCAAGTAGAAATACCCTGCACCGACCAAACAGACCCTAAAAATACATAACAGTGCGTTTCAGAGGAAGAGAAGGCTCAGAAAAATTTAGAGCCTTCTCCAAAATATGGGAGCCGGCTCTAAGGTCTTGGGAGCCGGCTCTTGCTTTGTGGGAGGTGGCTCCCTTCTTTTTGGGAGCCGGCTCTCTCACCCTTAAAAGCCGTCGTCCGTCCCTACTTCGTCTTCCTTGCTTCCGGTGATTCCCAAGCCCTCTGAAATATTTTTAAACACTTGTTCTAATGTTCACTCAGTGTCCCAATTCATTTTAAAGACATCAAAAAGCATCAACAAACTCTATTAAACAAGGTTTAACAACTTTTACAGAAGGATGTAATTAAACGGTTTAAGAGTTTCCAAAACAGTTTAACTTAACAGAGCAATTCCAATTTACCCAAGTCTCTGTAAAACTTGTAATACATGATCTAATGTTCAATCAATGTCCCATAGTAAGTAAAAAGCATCAATGACAACAATTAAAATAAGCTTAAACTTAGCAAAGCGCACATCCGTTAACAGAACGGTGAGAACTTGTAATCGAGTTTAATTCAACAAAATTACATATAGTTAAAGCATGCATAAAAACCTGTTTTAGCATCCATTAATGCCCTGGAGTCTACATAGGCATGCACATAACACGGGTAAAAGGGAAAGAGTAAGAACAAGACTTGCCTGCAATTTCAGATTTTGAAACTATAAACCACCGTCTCTGAGTTCTCCGTCAACGTTGTCGACTACAGTTCTACACCTCCGGCACTCTTGGTTCAATCCAGAAGCAACCCCGTTCCTTTCTCCTTGAACCTCTCTGTTAAACCCTCAAAGATCTCACACTCTGCTGCTCTTTGTGTATCTCTCTTTTTCACAGACGTGACTATGGTGGCTAGGGTTTTGTTTGTAACCCTAAACCAACGTATAATATGTATATATATAGGCTTCACACCACAATCCTAATTCTAATATAAAACCATCCCTAAAATCCACTCCCTAACTATTGTCGGCGTGTAAAACTAAACCCTAATAAAACAACCACAAATAACATTTAAATGCAAACCCACATAGGCACGTAAATAATAAAAACTCAACAATACAATTCAGTGAATAAAACATAGCAAAAATATATTTTAATTTACCAATTAAAACAAAAATAATTAATACAATAAAATGAGCAATTAAACAAATAAAAACAAATAAACAGGCAATTAAAACAATTAACTTAATAAAACGCAATTGAAATACAATAATTAAATTCCAGAACTGTCCTTTTTAAAATTAAGGGTATTACAAGGTTGAAGTCAGAGATCTTGGCTTTAATGGGGGTCGTTACATCCGGGCCAGAGTTGGGGTGATATTTCTAAGCCATTTCGAAGAAGGGTTAAATTTTTTCAAAAAGGCACGTAGAAGTGGACTAAGTTCAAGTATGAGCGCCTTCCTTCGCTATGTTTTAATTGTGGCCACATTGGCCACGATTGGCGATCTTGTCCGATGCCGCTTGATGATCCCATTGATGTGCGGCAGTTTAGTTCATGGTTAAAAGCTTCTGGTACGACGGGTCGATTAAATAAAAATCAAAACAGTCGCCCATCACATACTTCTTTTTTGTCTCAAAGTTCTCACTCAAACAACATCTCCCTTCCGGTGGCCGGTGTTTGTCATGGCGAGGCTTCTAGTGGCCTAAAGCCCCTTTTCAGTCCCTCAATCCCAGTGCCCAA